ACCATGGGCATATATGACTTTGATTAGTTTTTTCAATTTAATTAACAATATAAAATGAGAAACAGCCGAAACCGGTTTGGCTCAGTGGACAGAGCGTCGGCCTGCGGACTGAAGGGTCCCAGGTTCAATTCCGGTCAAGGGCATGTACCTGGGTTGTGGGCACATCCCCAGTGGGAGATGTGCAGGAGGCGGCTGATCGATGTTTCTCTCCCATCGATGTTTCTAACTCTCTATGTCTCTCCCTTCCTCTCTGTAAAAAATCAATAAAATATATAAAAATAAATAAAATGAGAAACAAAGTAGACAGTACAAAAGGGTATACAATTAAGAATGCATCTCCTTCCCCAGGGGCAGCCAACTGCAGCTTTCGGGTCCTATGGGTATCCTTCCAGGTGGTGGGAGAGTCTACTAGTATGTGTGCCTCGGTTTCACAGGATTCTATACATTTAATTGTGTTACGGATATAGAATAGTGCTTGTCACACGGTGAGCATGCAGTAACTGTTAACTCAAACCATTATTATTAGTCACCTGTAGAATGAATTTCTAGCCATAGATTTGCTGGTTCCAAGGTATGTGCATTTTTCCATTTTATTTTGCCAAAGATGTTACACTGATCTGCACTCCAAGCAAGAGTGTATGATACTGTATTTGCCTGCATCCTACCTAACACTTATTTTTGCCATTCTCCTGGGTAGAAAATGGTATCTTATTTTAATTGTACCTCTTTTATAACTAGTGAAGTTAAGTATCTTAGCTTATAAGGCATCATTTTAATGCCGATAAATATCAGAATTGCATTGTAAACCACACACACACATACACACACAAATCAATCCCATTCCTTCATTGTTAGGCCCCCTAACAGCCAGATCTCCTACCAATGACACAGAATAATTTGTGGCTGGTTCCCAAGCCAGATCCTTTCTCAAATGGCTAGACTGATAACCGAGACTCCCCAAAACACATGCTTTGTGTAAAAAAGATTAATAGGGATCACCATTGTGGGGAGGTAGAGACTGAGAGGAATTATGGGTGCGGTCTTTCTTGGGTGCAAATGTTTCCTTCCAGAGAGGGAGGACAGAAGAAAGAGAAACATCAATTTCCTTTTCCACTTATTTATGCATTCATTGATTGTTTCTTGTACGTTCCCTGATGGGGGAATTGAGCCCAAAACCTTGACGTATAGGAATGACGCTCTAACCAACTGATCTACCTGGCCAGGGCCAGGTAATGCTTTATTTCATGATCTGGGTGCTCTTTCCTCAACTCCAACAATTCACTGACTTGTATCCTCACAATGTGAACCCTTTTCAATGAGGTATGTTATATATACATTTCAATTAAGTTTTTCTAAAAATGGAGAATTTTTAAATTTGGTGCTAGGTACATGGGGATTCATTGTGTTATTCTTGCTAGTTTGTGTCTTTTAAAAGTATCCATAACAATAAGCTAAATTTAAAAGAAAGGCAGATTTAGATGTTCTGAAATAGGGTGGTCTCCAAGATCTACTGTTAAGAAGAAGAAATATGCAAAGAATAAATGAGTAATACTAATTCATATTGAAAGATATGGAAAAATGAATAGTATGTTTTTGTTTAAAATAAAATAAATCCCTCTCTCCAAATGCATAGAAGGAAATGTAGGGGGGAAAACACAACACCAAAAGTTAACAGTAGTTAGTGAAATCAAGGGTGACTTTTGATTTTGGTCTTTCTATTTTTCTGTATTGTCTAATTTCTTAAACATAGTAACATGTATTTTTATACTTAGAAAAAAACAACAAAACTATTTCCAAGGTAGCCCTAACCGGTTTGGCTCAGTGGACAGAGCGTCGGCCTGTGGACTCAAGGGTCCCAGGTTTGATTCTGGTCAAGGGCATGTACCTTGGTTGCGGGCACACCCCCAGTAGGGAGTGTGCAGGAGGCAGCTGATTGATGTTTCTCTCTCATCGATGTTTCTAACTCTCTATCCCTCTCCCTTCCTCTCTGTAAAAAATTAATAAAATATATTTTAAAAAAAAACAACAACTATTTCCAAGGTAGAAAAAGAAAAATTCATCCACGGGCAGTATTTGGAGGAATCTGCCAAAAGTCTGTTTTCTACATCTCAGAAGTTTTTAACCAGTGTTCAAAGGCTGGGCAAAGGCACAACTCCAGCGTGCTGGCTCTCCTGTTCCGATTCCATTCACAGTGGGCTGAGCAGCCAGAATAGCAGCACTCATGTAGCAGTTACTATGCAAATGCACAGGATCTAAGTACTTTACAAATATTATACTTACCTCCTCCTCTCAGGTAGGTATTATTGACTTCATTTTATCAATGGTGAAAATGAGGCACAAGAGGGTAACTAACCTGGCCCGAACTTTACAAACAGCAGGAGGTAGAGCTTGGGTTGGAACCCAGACATTCTGGCTCCTAGTATCCATACCCTTAACCACTATGCTACATACCTTACAAGGGAGGCCAAATCCAAGAGCCCTTAGATGACAAGCACCTGAGTATCACCAGACCTACCTAGAGCATCATCCCAACTCTGAGGGCAGGAGAGGAGAAGCTGCATCATCACAACAACCGACCTTTATGGGATGATCACTCTGTGCCAAGCACCAAGCTGAGCTTTAGATGCACCATCTTGTAATTTTTGCCTCATAGGAAGTCTTATCATCTCTCATAGGTGACAGAACTGAGGTTCAGAGAGGTGATATAACTTGCTCAAGGTCACACAGCACACTGATAGCAGAACTGGGATTCAGATATAGGCAGCTTGACTCCAAAAGAGTCTGCACTATTGACAGCCTGGCCTCTAGATCAGCAGTCGCCAACCAGTGGTCCGCGGACCGCTGGTGGTCTGTGAGGTCCGAAAGGTTGGTGACTGCTGCTATAGATGGTGAGGTAGGCTGTAGGGTGCTGGTGCAGAAAGCGGGGGCTGACACCCACCTCGGCCACGGGACTTGGCTCCTGGCTTCACGATCCAGATGTTGCGATCTCCTTCCATGTCTATCTGGGGCACCAAGGCCCGCAGCTGCTGCAGGATGTCCTCACAGCGCTGGACCTGAGCCTTCAGGTGACTGAGTTCTGCCCCCTCGCTGTTGGGGAGATAATGGGTCTTGGGCAGGACTGGACCCAGGGACAGCCTGGTGGACAAGGCAAAGGGAGACACAAGCTCCCCTGGCCATGGTCCTACCAGCCTTGGTCATGCCCTTCCCTCCCTAAAGATCCAGATAGGTCTCTTCCAAACCTCCATACCCACCCTCAAGCTGCCCCCCAAATTCTTATCTACCCAGGGCATTGTCCCGGCCTCCTGGAATGGGAAAAGGCACCACTTACTACACCCCACACCCACTCCAAAAACTCCATTTTCTGCCGCCTCCCTTTCCATTACATTAAAGTTGCCTTTGGCAAAATTTAATCATACGGCATTTAATGGTGAGGCTCCACTATGCGCCAGATTTGTAGTGAAGGGCTTTACATACATTATCTCTAGTCCTCTCTGTGGCCTTGCCAGGAAGCTATTACTGGTCCCATTTTAGAGCAGTGTAAATTGAAGCCTGGAGAGTTAAGAGACTTGCCCAAGGCCACAAATTGAATTTAGAGGCTGAGCCAGGACACAAACACCATCCTGCCTGATTCCTCCATCACAAGTGCTTTTGAGGGTTCATTCCCCTTCTAATCTGGACCTAACACTGGTTGATAGGTGAATCCCTACCTAGTCTAGTTTTTTTCAGGCACACCTGTCTCACACATCTCCTTGCTCTATTTCTCTTCTCTTCCTATCACCTACCACCTGACATCTACGCTTATATCTGTCTCCCCTCAATGGAATGTAAGCTCCATAAGAGCAGGAACATTTGTGTAGCTATTATTCTCTGTTGCGTTCCTATCTCCAAGCAGTATACCAGCACTCCCTAAAAGTGTGCTAAATGAATGTATGGTTGGATAAGCAAGTACTTTGGCAGGAGCTTGCCTCCGTAACTGGTCTGCACAGATTGGGGTTCGCGAACAAAGAGAGACCCTGTTCCCTACAGCAGCGGTCGCCAACCAGTGGTCCATGAGGCCTGAAAGGTTGGCGAATGCTGCCCTATGGGACACAAAATGTCCTGAAATAAACCAAGTCACAAAATACCCCAGATGGCTGCCTCGCCCAAACTCTCCCCTTTCTTCTCTTCCGAGTTGGAAGGAAGCCTCTTTAACACCTTGGCCTCTTGCATGTCTCTAGCTATGGAGAACTTAGCTTTCAATAGGGAGGCAGCAGCAACCACTGGGGCAGTGCCAGCAACAGGGACAGCCACATGGAAAGGGCATAGCAGGGCCTCTCAGTCACATCTAAGTCCTGACTCCTCTGGCTCTAGATGACCTACTGGAAACTTTTCCATGGGCATCTCACAGTAACTCTGTCACATGAGAATGGCAGGGGCACGTGTACTTTGAAAAGGTATGTTCAACATGACAATATGATTTTATATTTAGCAAAAAGAAAACAACCAGTGTGTTTGTGGAAAGTCAACCTAATAAAAGCCTGGCTGCTGAGTCATGAATTTGTTTTAAAAGTTTAGAAACACAGACAACAGCATGGTGATTACTAGAGGAAAAGGAGGCTGGGAGGAGATTGAAGAGAGTATGGGGGAGGGGGTGAGTTGAGAAACATAACAGTTAATATTGAATGAATTAATGTATGCTAACTACCTGTACTGAACATCTCAACACTATGTTATATGATGCAATATTTTATGAAATTCTGAATTTTGAGAGCTTCCTACAGCCCTCTTTGAACTTGTCCTATACCCGGAAATAAATAAGACTCAAATTATTTTCTCGTAATATTCTAACGCAGTCTCGATAATTCTTTGTTTAAGAAGGATGACTTTACATGTTCCAGTAGCTAAGGTGAAAGTATAGGGTCAATTTCATTTTCTGACATTTAAAGAAGATACAAATGAATTATCAATGACGTGGGTTTGCTCAATATGTCATTTATTCAAAGTTCATTTATTAGTTCTTCAGTCTCCTCTATCAAATCATCCTGTTCTATTAGTCCCACCCCAGCTGAGGCCCTCATCACTCCCATTTGAGTTTGTGTTCCTTGAGGGAAGGGACTATGTGTCATTTCTGGAGCCTGGCACAATACTTGGCACACAAGCTGAGTGTTCTCCTGCCCGCAGGACACTTCTCCCTCCTGTCTCTCCTGCACTCCTCTACTGCACGGAATCTCCCCACAACAGCTCCAGCCTCACTCATCTCGACACTCCTTTTCTCTGCCCAAGAACCCTTTTCCACCCCGGCCGGTGACTTGGTGGTTAGAGCATCAGCCCGAACACTGAAGAGTCTCGGGCTTGATTCCTGGTCAAGGGCACGCACTGGGTTCCAGGTTCGATCCCCAGCCCCAGTCGGGCAGGTGCAGAAGGCAACCAATCAATGTGTCTCTCTCTCTTCCCCTCCTTCCCTCACCTCCCTCCTTCCTTTCCACTCTCTCTGAAAAAGCAATATGAAAAAATATCCTCAGGTGAGGATTAACACTAACATAGTAATGAAAAATAAAAATGTGTAAAAAAATGAAGCTAAATTAGAAAATCTCTTAAGTGGGTGCTGAAAACACAACCCCTCAGGATGCTTGGGGTTGGGGGGCAGGGGTGGGCACGCCACTAGAGTCATATAAGTACAGAATATACAGTAAGCCCTTAATACTGTCAATAAATTCTGCAACTAAGTGGAATGACATAGAACAAAACCAATTTTACCATAGGCCAGTGGTCGGCAAACTGCGGCTCACGAGCCACATTTGGCTCTTTGGCTCCTTGAGTGTGGCTCTTCCACAAAATACCACCTGTGGGCGCACACATACAGTACAACTGGAACTTCATGGTCCATGCACAGAAGTCGGTATTTTGTGGAAGAGCCACACTCAAGGGGCCAAAGAGCCGCGTGTGGCTCGAGAGCCGCAGCTTGCCGTCCACTGCCATAGGCTAATTGATAGAAACAAAAGTTAAGTTCTATAGCATCTCATCAACATTATAACAAAACAAAGTTATTTGAGGACCTGCTGTATTGCACTCTCTCTCTCTCAGGTATATACCACCGATATGTTCTGAAAGGCCCTGCACCAAGGAAAATTCTTTTAATTAACTTTGTTTAACCCAATGTTTTCCAAATATGATTGACTACAAAAGCCCTTCCCTTCCCTCCCACCCCAACAAAATCAATTCACATTCTGTAGATCAGCATCCTATGTAACACACTTGGGGAAACACTGGCCTCTGGGATAAAATCTAAATGACTGAATGGATTTTTACTTGGTGAGTGAATACTGAGTCCATGCTGAGCACATGATACAAATTATCCTGGTGAGTCCTATCTTTGGGGAAGATATTCGGTATTTGAGAAAAAGCTCAAAAAGATTAGTGACATTCCCAAGGTCACAGAGCTTAAAAGTTACAAAGCTAGGACTTGAATTGAGGCCATGATCTTTGTGACTATGCTATGCCAAGATCCAGGAAGAATGCTTTCTACCCCATCATGGAGGCAGTGGGAGCCCTTAAGAGCTCGTGAGCAGGAAAGTACAGGGAGAACAAAAGGGGGAGGCTTAGGGAGGAGGTGCAGGGCTACACTAGAAAGAGAGAATTTGTCTCTGACTGAGCTAGCTCAGAACATGGAGGCCCCCCACAGCAAGGTACTCACTGGATCACTTGGTAGTAGCGCTGTAGGAAGAGGGACCAGCCCTCAGGGCTGAGGAACAGTGGGGCCTCCAGGTCCCGGTCAATGTCCAGGTGGGCCAGGTTGTTAAGGTGCTCCTCGCAGGCGCAGAGCGCCTCATCCACAAACTCTGGAGTCAGCATCACTGGCTTTTTCTCCAGTTTCTTGGGCTGCTTGCCTGCTGCAGAGGTAGGGAGGGAACTGTCACTCTCTGACGGGTAACCTGACACATGCCATGGCACCCACGGCTCCAATGCCTGTCACTTACTGGAGAACTCATCCTAAATACACCTGTGGCCCAGCACACACCTACATCTCTTACTGCCCTGAGACCTGCTACTTACCAGAGGCTTTATTCTAAATTCATCTGAGACCCTAGTGCTCACCCTTGGTCCCAACTGCCCCAGGACCTGTCACTCACTTGAGGGTCCACCCTAACAGTCCCCGGGGCCTCTCAGCACCTATAGCTCCAAACACATGCACCCTCGCTGCTTGTGGGACCTCTGACACACCTGTAGCCTTTGTGCCCCTGATCCTGGCACACAAGTCTTCTTGGCACCTGACACACCTAGGGAACTGCAATGGGAAGACCTCCCTCTGGAAGAGACAGGGATTTCCCACCTCCCAGTAGACCTGCCCCTTATGAGCCTGAATCCTTGGCTGAAAGGTCCTGGATTACAGTACAGGGTAGGAGCTAAGTCCAAAGAGAGAAAGGCGAGTAATAGGTGGAGTCAACATGGAATGTGGCATTCTCTATGTCACCCTCCACAAGGCACTAGGGGTCCTCAGACCACATGAAAAAACTACACGGTTACACTGTTTGCTTCCCCACAGAGATCCTGTCCCAAGACAGGACTCCGTCTGTCCTCTTCGTCTGTCATTGCTGGAGAGCTGGCCACATTCCGGGTCCATGGGAGGGCTGAATGAGGCAGTGGATCACTTAACAAATGGAGAGGAAGAGAGGTGGGTACGGTCGGGACAGAAGAATGGATGAGTGATGGACTGGAGGACAGACAGGTGGTGGATAGGAGGGTGGAAAAGCTGGTGGATAGATGGGCAGATGGATCTGTGGAAGAAAAGATAGGAAGGTGGAGGAGAGATGGATAGGAAATGTGTTGCTGAGAGAAGGTAGGTGAATGAGTAGATAAACAGTGTGGGGATAGATGGGGAGATAGATGGATGAATGAATGCATGGGTAGGTGAATGTGAGATCGGTGGGTGTGTGGGTGAGTAGGTAGATGAGTAGATGAATGGAAGGACAGATGGTGGGTAGATGTATGGATGGATTGGTGGGAAGGGGCAGTGGATGGGCAGATGGATGTGGATAATATAGATAATTTATATAGATAATGTGTGGATGAATAATGAATTGATGGGTGGATGTGTGGGAGGATAAATGGTGAGGGAGTGGAGGGTATTTACCTGGGGCCTCTTCCTCTTTTGCCTGGATAGAACATGACTTCCATTCGGACTTTACCACCAGCTTGAGAACGTTGCGGGCAGCTGTCAACCAGAAGTCCTCTGCTCCCAGGGCAGGAGATGCTCTGCTCAGCCCTAGGCTCCAGGCCTGTTCTGGTTCTGGAACCTGATCATGAACTGCCCCATTTTGGATCCAAATCTGACTACTTTCTGACTCTAGAACCTGGGTTAGAACCTGGCTCCTATTTCAACTATAGAACCAGACCCAGAATCTGACCTGACTTGGCCCATATTCTGCCTTAAGAATCTTAACCTATGCCCAGTCGGCATGGCTCAGTGGTTGAGCATCGACCTATGAACCAGGGGGTCACAGTTTGATTCCCAGTCAGGGGCATGCAGGATACAGCCGATCAATGATTCTCTCTCTCTCCCTCTCTCTCCCCACCCGCCACCTTCTTCTCTAAAATCAATGATATAGATAAATAGAGATATATAAAGAATCTCACCTAGACCTGACTGGTTTGGCTAAGCGGATAGAGCGTCGGCCTGCGGACTCAAGGGTCCCGGGTTCGACTCCAGTCAAGGGCATGTACCTTGGTTGCGGGCACATCCCCAGTAAGGGGCGTGCAAGAGGCAGCTGATCGATGTTTCTCTCTCATCTATGTTTCTAACTCTCTATCCCCCTCCCCTCCTCTCTGTAAAAAATCAATAAAATATATTTTTTTAAAAAAAGAATCTCACCTAGACCTGTTGTCTAATTTTTCTCTTCTGTTCCTGATAGACTCTTGATATTTATTCTAGTCTGAGAACCAAACCTTGGCCCAAAACCTATTTCAGGTCTGGAGACTAATTTAAACCTACCATCTACTCTGACCTGAATTTAGAACATGTTCTGGAGTTGGAAACTATTCTGCCTTAGAAGTCCAAAGTCTAGAGACTTTTCTGGATTAAGAACCCAATCTAGCCAGTGGAATTTGACACGGGCCTGGAACCCAAACTCAGCCTATCGACCAGCTTTTAGAACCTGCTCCAGAATATAAGCTAAGCTAACTAAGATCTTCTGGAGGTCTGTGGATTAGGGATGGAGAAGGAATTCTGTTGGGGTGGACAAGAGAATGAAGAGAGAAGCCCTTTGCTCTCCAACACCAACCAGGGCTTTAGCCTTCATCCTTCAGCTGGACGGGTCCAGGCACAGGGCTGGGCATCTCCTTACCTATGAAGGCCTTTTTGTCTTCCTCAACCCCCAGGTGGTAGCAGCGTGGGAAGAAGGAGTCAGCATCAGCCTCATCAAACCATGGCAAATTCCGGAGATTGAGACATAGACCCACCTATGGAATCAGCTGCTGAGGGGGCAGGATGGGACTTGCCCGGAGAACCTCACAGGGGCTCCCAGCCTCGGCCCATGCCCAGACAGTTCAGGCTGACTCTACCTGAATAGTCTCAGAGAGCCTCTGCCCACTTACTGGGCCTGACTCGCTCATATCGATCTCCGTATATTTGCCCACACAGTCCCTCTGCCGAGAATGCCCCACATCCCCCTTACCCACTGTTTCACATTCTTAATGACCTGCTTCCTCTAGGAATCCCTTCCCAATCCACACCAAAAAATACACTCACTGGTGCAATTATAAAGACTTCATTCTTGCCACAATCCTAGAAAATAGTTTTACTGGTATTCTCATTTAAAGATGAGGAAACTTCAGAGAGGTGAAGTCACTTGTTAATACACCCAGGTAAGACAGAATGGATTCATCAGCCAGATATCCTCTGCTCAGGAGATAAGGACCAAGACTCTTGCTCAGTCATTGGACTTGGTGTTTGTTCTGGCTCCAGATCCCGTTTGAATCCTATTTTAGTCAATGTCTACATGTGCCAGATATGCTGCAGGGGTTGGATTTGAACTCAGGACTGTCCAACTCCAAATCCCGCTGAATTATATACCAAACTCCTGAGAACTCTCTTACTGACAAGGAGAGCAGGGAACTGGGGTGCTAGCCCAAGGGCTGGGAGTTGGAAACTGTAATGCCTGCTGTCCTGGGGAGCCCACCTTTGTGGTAAATGAGCCAGCCCGGGCATAGTGGTTTATCACTTGGTCCTTGGAGAGGAAGCGACAGTCCAGCACGTCCCGCCGAGTGGTCCAGATGAAGTAGGGGATCTCATTCCGAACCATGCGGGACTGGGGAGAGGAGACATGGGAGGCTGGTGTGGGCAGCACAAGGCTGGAGGAGGCTTCTTCCTGCCCTGTTGAGCAGGGTGAGTGAATGGAAAGAGAGGATACTTCCAAGGTGGCCTCTAGCCCACATACCATCTTTGTGTAAAATAAAATAAAAACAGCTCTTCCTCCAGGGCACATACTTGGTGAGCAGGGAGCAGACAGGCTTGCAAATTCTGGGGCCAAATGCCTCTAGGCAGTGACTAAGCCATACAGCTGAATACCATGCCTTGTTCTGGCCCATGGCCATCAATGATTTGCTCAGACAGGACAGTGACTCTAAGCTGATGGGCACATAGCACGTGACAAAGGCTCTACATCTCTCTATCTTTCCTATAACTCTGGGAGGTAGGATTATTAATAAGCACTAAGACCACATGCTAGACCATGTTCTCAATACTTTCCATGTCATCTCATTTAATCCTCACCAAACCTCTATGAGGCAGATGTTACTGTGGTCCCCATTTCACAAATGAGGAAACTGCGGCACAGGAAGGGTAAGTGCTTGTCCAAGGGCTGCCAAGGTTGAGCCATATGAAACAGAACACTCAACCTTTCCTGACATATAAAAATGGCAGTTTGGTATAGTTCAACTTAGTAAGTGGTGGTGGAAAGACTCGAAGCCGAGCGTCCTCACCTCCACACACAAATCCTCCACATCGTATCAGCCTCTTTCCAAGCTTTTTAAGCCCTTCCTTCCAGCCTTCGTTTGCCAAGGGCAGAGGAAGGAGATGAACTATGTGCCTTTTAGTTGGAAGGGGGAATTCCTAGGCATGGAGTTTGTGCCAGCTTCTGATACAACGTAGCCGAGTTCTGATCCCAGGCTAGCCTTGTCTGAGCACCACTGTGTCCCTCACCATTCTGCTGGCCCATCCAAGCTTTAGAGAAGCAATTAGGTTTTATTGCCTATGGGGAAACTGAGGCTCGGAGAAGGAAAGGACTTGTCTAGGGTCATCCAGCTGAACTTTAATGCTCTCCCTCCAACTAAGCTGACCCCTGCCAGCCCCTTAGGCCCTCACCATCACAGCATGTGTCCCATCTAGGTTGTCCAATTCCAGTACATCACCATTGAAGAGTTGTGGTAGCTGGAATACCTCGTCCTCATCTTGATCGTCTGCAAATGCAGAGAGAGCCCAGGCCTGGTGAGGCCCCTGTCCCTGCCCCATAGGCCCATACCAAAGTCTCAACCCTGGGACAGTGGAAACCAAAGGAAAGCCACTGAGAGAGGCAGCATGTGGAAATGGAGGGAACTGCTCACCATCCTCAGTGATGTCGCTATCACCCGTCACTGAGCTGTTCAGATGCTTCTGGGGTGACAGCAGGGTGGTGCCCGACGAATGGACCATCTTCTTCTCCACCCAGCCCCTGCGGCGCAAGAGGCACCGGATCACCGGGTAATGGCCTTGGATCATAAAGATCTTCTTCTGCTGTAAGGTGAGAGAAGGGTACTTGCTCAGTAAGTACTGCCTATGTGCCAGACATAGGGAATGGTGAACAGAATTTTGTTATTCTAGTAGAGGAAACAGATTATAAACAGGTAGGTAAATAAATATGGTTGTATCAGAAGCTGGCATATTTTTGACTACAAAGTTATGATAATAGTTGATATTTATTAAAGACCTATATGTGCTAAGCATATATATGTGTGTGTGTGTGTGTGTGTGTGTGTGTATTACTAACAATAACATGTATTTTTAACAGATGTTATTATCCCCATTTAACTGATTATGAAACAGAGGCATAGGGAGGTTGAATAGCTTGGCCACACAGTGGTTAAGTGAAAAAGCAGGGATTTAAATCCACGTAGGCTGACTCCAAAAACTGGACACTTAATGGGGATTCAGAGAAACTAGAAATACATACAGTCAGAGGATGTGGAGAAGGAGCCACGAATTAAGAGCTGGACAAATGGCAGTTTGGACAAAGGAAAAAGCATGTGCAAAGGTCTTGAGGCTGGAGGGAGGTCTAAGGAGTTGGAAGGGGACCAGGGTTAGAGTGGAAATGAGGGGAGAGCTCCTGAGCCAGGAGGTCATGGCTAAACTGTGGAAGGTCCTGCAGGCCTTGGACATGGTCTTGAATTTTATATCAACAGCAGTGTGCAGCACTGAAGGCTAAGAGAGGGAGTGCTGTGACTGGAGGCTGTAAAAGTTTGGCTGGCTGCTGTCTGGAGACTAGATGGAGGAGACAAGGGTGGAAGTAGGGAGGCCAGTTAGAGGGCTGTTGTGGTTTGTATGGGAGAAAAATCACGACAACTAGAATGAGGGTGGCTGCAATGGAGAAGGGAAGGTCATAGAATTAGGATTTGTTCTGGAAATACAGGTGACTGGTTTTGCTGATGGGAGTAGATGTGTGGGTGAGTGAACAAAAAGATCAGATTTCTAGCTTGAGCAACTAGGAGATGGGGAAGACCAGAGACAAATGACTGGGTTAGGCAGGAAAATCAAGAGTATGGTTTGGGACATGGAAATGATAGTAAGTTCTCTGGATGGAGATGTCCAGTAAGCGGCTGGATCTGCCAAGTGTACAGTTAGAGCATAGGTTGGGCAGGAAAGGGCATGCAGGGGGTACAGCACCCTGTCTGGACTCACAGCCAAGGAGACAGGTGTAGGAAGGGATCCAGGGAACCACTAAAGTCCCAGGCACCTTCAAAGCAGCAGCCAGGGAGGAAGGAAGGAAAACTAGATGTGAGCAGAGAGCCGAGAGGAAAGGGGGTGTGGGGCAGCAGTGCAATGACACAGGTGCCCACCAAGATTGGGACAGAAAAGGAGCTGCTCCTGGGACTTCTCTAGTTCTCCCAAGGAAGTGGAGAAGGGACAGAAACAGAGAGGTAGGAGCTGAGGGGCGAATGCTAGGTAAAGTAGACAAGTCTGCTAAATGAAGGGGTATCAAAAATAGGGAGGGCCCTAGTTGGTTTGGCTCAGTGGACAGTGTCTGTCCAACTGTGGACTGAAGGGTCCCGGGTTTGATTCCGGTCAAGGGCACATGCCCGGGTTGTGGGCTCCATCCCCAGGAGATGTGCAGGAGGCAGCCAATCAATGTCTCTCATCATTGATGTTTCTCTCTCCCCCTTCCTCTCTGAAATCAATAAAAATACATTAAAAATTTTTTTTAAATAGGGAAGTATTTGCAGGTGTGGGCTAGAAGGGGTCAAGGGGGACAAGGAGGGCATCTGTAATACTTCCAACAATAAAGATAAACTTTTAAAAAATGGGGAGGTATTTGAAGATGGGTGTGGAATCAAGGAGTTTGTTTTTTAAGGATGGAATAAATTAGTTCAGGGAGGCAGATTGTGCCATTCTAGAACCGCCCCTCCTTCCCTAGCCCCCTCTGACCTTGACAGCTCTCTCCACATGGATCTTGGCGTTTCTGAGCCGGCCCATGTGCGGAGAGTCCTTGGACAATCCTGGCCAGAGGACCAGGGAACCTGCGGAAAGATGAGTAGAGGGGGCTCAGCCTAGCATCTCTCTGGCCCCCAATGCCCATGCCCCTGCTCCTTCTCTTTCTCTGCCCTTCACCCGGATGCCCACCCTCTATCGCTCTTCTCCCGACCCCCATTCCCTCCACCCAGTTGTCTCTTCCTCGTCACTACTGCCTCGGGCCAGGATGGGCTGACCGAAATGGGCCTCACCGTCCTGCAGCGGGGCATCATCAAGGACTCGGGTGTGCGGGCGCCCGAGGGGGCGTAGATCTGCGGTGCCCTGGGCATGAGTGCCATGGGCGAGCGACTGGATGGCGCGGCTGCCGGCCAGGCTTTTGCTACCAGCACGAGCCCCATCGGACCAGGCGCAGGCGGGCCTGGGCCATGGCAGCGTCTCTAGAGGCCGAAACTCCGAGCGGCGTGCCCAGGGCCACGGGACGGGGTGACTGGTGCGTGGCTCAGGCGGCTGCAGCTTCTGCGGCCAGTTGCATACCGGGCCGCCCTCCAGGCGGAACCAGGTGGTGGAGCACGGGTGTCTGACCCTCAGGTCCCCGGCGCTCCGGATCAGCGCCAAGCAGGGGCCCTGCATGCGCCTTACCGCGCTCGCACGCCCTCCCTGCGCCCCGCACTGCTGCCTCTCGCGGGATTGCAGAGCAGGGTCCTAGGGTTCGAGGCTCCGCCCTCTGTTTATTGTCGCCTTGGAAACCATTCCTTACCACAATCAGGCCGCGGTTGACTGGTTCCAGCAGGCGAACTCAGAACTTCACCTGCCCCACACCCTTGATGAGAGCACTGATGGCAGAAGCGCACAGTACCGGGTTGCCAATTACTACCAGTGCCATGGTTTCTCATTGAGCATTTCTGGGGCTCCAGTCATTTCACCGTATTTATAGAGGACCACGTCCTAGGCAATGGGCTAGGACCTAGGTGATCCCTGACCTCATGGAGTTTAGAGCCCAGTGGAGAGGAAACAAAAAGTAAGCAACAAAGGTATATAACAGCTGTAAGTATGGTACGGGCAATGAACTACAGCCAGGAAAGCGGCATATTTTGGATAAGGCAGTCAATATTCTCTGAAGAGGTGACATTGAAGCCAACACCTTACAAAATGCAAAGGTCAGGAGTTGGTCAGGGAAGAGGGGAGAAATAGCATTCCAGGGAGAGGCAAGTCTCAGCAACAGCCCTGAGGAGGGTAAGAACCTTTCTGGGGAACTAAAAGGATGCCAGTGTGGCTGGAGCCTGGTGAGGCGGGATTGCATCTGCAGGGCCTGACAGATGGGGCTAGGAGCAGGTCCTTGGGGACAGATTTGAAAGACCTGTATATGCAGGAAACAATGATCCAGCACAGAACGCACTTCTCCCTTCCCCCACCCCACAATAACTTGGAAATACAAAAACAGACCATCTTTGTCAACTGCAGAAAAAAAATGTAACTGCATTTATGCATAGCTCTCAAGACAAGACTAAGCAATCCTTTTGGGGGTGTGGCAAAGTAGTATCTTCAAGTCACAGGTGAGATAAAATGAGACTTCAAGATGTTACAGAATTTGCCTCATCACAGAGCCAGCAGTGGAGCCCAGAGCTGACTCCAAGGCCCCACTCTTAAACACAAACACTGTTAACATCATGACCCCGTGTTATCAAACTGGTTGTCTATTGGTCATGGAAATATGGGTAGTTAGAGAGGTAAACTCTAGCAGTGCCCATTTAAGCAAACTCCAGGGTAGAGTACCTGGTCCAAAAAGCCAGCTTTGTGTTGTCTCTGGCTAGATCTGCCCATTCAGTGAAGGTGGGTCCTCCACCTAGGTGTCCAGCCAACCCCATCCCTGCAGATCACCCTTCCCAACCCCCCACTGGCTGGTGACTGGGCTTCCCAAAAGACGTGTCCCCAGGAGAGGGCCAGCTGATTGGAAACCACCCAGTCCGTTCTCATCAGGGAGCAACTTTGGTTTTAGGGGATCCAGATCAGAGGAGATGGATCCATGACGAGTTTTGGCTGGCTCACCCAGGCAATGCTGTCCTGTGAGGGCTGAGTGAGCAGCTGCCATATTCTATAGTGGATATCTTCACTGTGATCGCCTTTAATATTCACTGCAAAGCTACAACAGTCATGTGCCCCAGAGTAGGGCACACCTCATTCTGCAAGGCAGAAGGAAGAGGTCACAGAGGTAAGTCATAAAGGGGATGATAGCTATCTGAGTTGCCCCCAGCCCTTTCTCCCTTTAACATCACCTTGTCCTCTACTTCAAGAGACCCGTTGGCCATCTAGAACACTTTTGAAAGCTCAGCTCAAAGGCTAACCCTTCTGAAACTCTTCCTGGCATCCTCCTCCATAAATATATGCCCCGTGGGCCCCAAGACTTACAGTGAATATGAAACACTTCAGCACATCTATTCACACTCCTGGCTTTTACTAGTCCCCCAAATCTCTCCAAGACAGGGATAATGTCATCGTCCATGTCTAGATGAGGAAAGTTATCAGCTTGCATAGTGGGCTGGTGGAAAGATCAGCTATTGTTTACTTAGTACTGGCATAGCAGGAACAATGTGAGATTGTTTACATTAACTTTCTCCACTTTATAATTTACTCAAATTCAGCAAGAGTTTGGACTCATGCTGGGCTGATGTAGTTCAGCAGTTGAGCGCAAGCCAGGAACCAAGAGGCCTCCAGTTCAATTCCCAGTCAGGGCACATGCCTGTGTTGCAGGCTCCACCCCCTGTGTGTGGGGGCATGGTGTGCATGTGCAGGATGTAGCTGATTGATGTCTCTCTCTCATGGATGCTTCTATCTAATCTCTCCTTTCCTCTCTAAGAAATCAATAAAATATATTTAAGAGTTGGGACTCAAATACAAGCAATCTTGTTTATTTGGGAGGATTCACCAAGTCTAGCACTGTCCAAGAACTTTCTGTGATCATGGAAATGCTCTACATATGTGCCATCTGACATGATAGCTATTGAGCACTTGTAATGTTGCTGGTGGGACCGTGTGAGTAAATTTTAAACCTTATTTAGTTTGAGTAATTTAAATAACCACACATGGCTACTGAGTACTGTCTTAGCATTGGTAGAGGCATAAGTCTTGGATTTGAAATCTACCCTCTTGCTCACTGGCTAAATTTGGGGCAAGCTACTACATCTTATGGAACCTGTTTCCTTAGCCATAAAATGGGATCCCTGACTCTCCGAGGTTGGTTTAGCCCAAATGAGCTCATTAGGCAAGAAGGACCAAAGCTCTTCATAGGTAGGGGTAACAGTTTTTAAAATGGGTGGTGCCTAGATTGCAATGGAAGCCTCTGGATTAGGGCCCTAGGCAGGGATGTCAGGAACCATAAGATTGCTTCTGGTGGTGACCCCAGGCCCAACTACCAGTCACATGGTCTTTGGAAAGAAAAAGCCCCACCTCCCCTCTTTCCACATATGCAGACAGAGCACAGACCTCATGCAGCCCCAAAGGGGCAAGAAGAGAGTTTAATCAGGGGCGGGGGGACCCATCAGAATAAGAAAAGGTACAGCGAGCATGGGAGCAGAGAAGCCAGAGCAGGTGGGAAGGCCCAGCCAGGAATCTGATAGGACTCACCTCTCCACCTCAGCACAGGCACTGCACTGACAGACAAGGCAAAACAGTGACCCCTCTCAGCTGGGAGGCCTGGAAGTGGCCCCTGTGACCAGAGGTTGCCTGGCTTTCTGGTTCCAGCTCCTAGGCGTGGCTGGTGGCCACTGGTTCAGCCCTTGTCCCCAACCAGTGCTGAGAGGCGATTTTTAGGCAGAGCTCAGGAAGCTGGCCACTGCTTTTACTGGGCTCAAGGAGGCTTGAGAATAAGAGGGCAAGGGAGAGGAACTGGAGTCTGAAACCTCCCTCCCTCCCCACATGGGGTGACTTGGGGGAGGAACAGTAGTCGCCTTTTGGCTCCAGGCCCGCCCAGACCCACAGCAACCAATAAGGTACAATCACTGGGACCAGTCACAGCCACTGGAGGTGGAGGTTTTGTTTAAAAAAAAAAAAAAGACAAAAAGGTTACAGTCTCCTACAAGCACAGAGTTTAAATTTCAAGACACTAAAAAAAAAAAATCCGTCCGCCCAGGGGACTGAACATCAGAAGCCAGCCTGACCAGGCACGTGTGGCCTTGGGGCAAGTTCACTGCTGCTTTGTCACCAGCTAGCAAGCGCACCACCCCCCCTCCCGCATTTAATGCCCACCCCAACCCAGGTCCCCTCCTCTGCTTCTGCTGTCGCTCTGACAAGTGACTCCAGGACGCCTTTGCAGAGACACAGGAGATTCTGAGGGGGAAGGCCACGAGATCCAGTCAGGTGTTTAAAACTGTCAAGAGAACAAAGAAATGGTGAATGATGGTTACTGCTGTATTCCAGTAGGCCTGCTGAGGGGGGCTGAGGGGGCTGAGGGGGCCGATCTGAGAGCTGCCACTGTGCTCAGACCTCTGAGGGGGCAGGATTAGGTCCCAGGACATCCCTGTGGGCATGCTTTTCCCAGTGATCTTTGGGGCACTGGCCCTAAACCTAGCACTAGACAAGGCAGCGAAATGAAAGGTGGTATGGGCTTTTCCATAGCTCCTCTTAGCCATGTCACAGAGGCTGCTATAAAGCACTGTCACAGCAACTTGCTTCTTTAGAGATGCAAGGGCTTGGGGACTCAGAGGGCTCAAGCTCTGTGTGGTCCTCCAACCTAGGACAGGCCCTTCACAAGTTTTCTGCCATCAAGTATCTCTCATGGTGCCAAGAACAGCCCTGGACATTTTACAGACCAGAGGTTAGAGAACAATGAATGAATAGTGAAGCCCCAAAATGAGCCCATACAGTGTTTTAAAGAATATGAATTAGTTGCCAACCTTGAAAATAAGGGAGACTCTGGATACTAATCCAGACTTTGGGATTCCTTTTTAAATTTTTTAAAAATTTTTTGGTGGAAATTTATTAAAGAACAAGTACAGGTTCCCACATGGGGAGGAGGAAAGAGTACCTTTTATTATTTTTTAAAATATACTTTTATTGATTTCAGAGAGGAGAGGGGAGGGAGAGATAAACAGAAACATCAATGATGAGAGAGAATTATGGATCAGCTGCTTCCTGCATGCCCCACACTAGGGATCAAGCCTGCAGCCTGGGCATGTGCCCTGACTGGGAATCGAACCGTGACCTCCTGGTTCATAGGTTGATGCTCAATCACTGAGCCATGCTAACCAGGCAAGACTTTGGGATTCTTTTGAAAGCTGTAAGATGAAGCTGTATGGTGGTGATCCTCTTCAGGTGAGGCATGAGTTCACCGGGTCCCTACACAATTCACTTTACTCACATACATTACCTGCCTACTTGAATGTGTGACCCCTGCCAGATGCCAAAGTACTATTCCAGGATCTCTGAGTCTGAAACTTAGCTCCTAGTCCTGGTTCTCCCACTTACTGAGGGACCTTGGGAAGGTGATTTAACTTCCGGAGCTCCAGTTTACTAATCTGTAAAATAGGGATTAACACCTGCCTCAAAGATTCTACTTTTTTAAATGTAGAGAGAGAAACATTGATATGAGAAACACTGATTGCCTGCCTCCTGTACACCCCCTACTGGGTATCAAGTCTACAACCCTAGCATGTGCCCTGACTGGGAATCGAACTGGCAACTTTTTGGTGCATGGGACAATGCTAAACCAACTGAGCCTCTATGGCCGGGCAAAGATTGTTTAAGGTATTAAATAAGGCATGTGAACTGCTTTTTAGCTGCATAACTATAAAAACATAATTATCATAAGAGTGATTAGTGCATGAATGAGTTAAGTATTAAATTGGGGCAAGAACTATTTTTCTTCACAGTTGAATGCAAAGGCCTCCTAGTGCCTTGGCCATAACTTTGGTACTACAATACAACACTTACTATCAGCCAAGTGACATGCTTTACATATATCTCCTCACTGTTCAACCACAATGAAAGGTTCATATTAATTACTCAGTCTCCTCATTTTGCTGCTGAGGAAACAAGCTTAGTTAAGAGGGTCAGTCCATGCCCAAGCAGGCATGGAGCCTAGACTCACACCCAGGTGGTCTAACTTCACAGCCTTGTGATCTGAACAAGCACTTCCCCTGTGAGCACAGTAAAGCTACTTTGTATGCTGGCTGCCCTCAATATAATTAAAGCCTAGGGGAAGCGGGTGTAATTTCCATTTTTAGGAATCTGAGCTCCTTCTGGGCTGGGTCTGTATGCACTGGTAAGAATTAACATAAATCTACCATCTAAGGATCACTGTCAACTCTGAATGGAACATGTCAACAAACCAAAGATTGTTTGGAAGAAGAAAAAGAAAAAGAAGGCGGCATGTCCTGAATATCTAAACAAGAACAACTGTGTCATCAGTTCATCAATGTTTACAATTCCTCCTCTTCAGAGGACTGCAGTCCTCTCAGTTAGGAAGGCACAAACAGTTGAAAAAAGATCCAGAGGACTTAGGCCAGGAAAGTGATGGAAAACAGCTTGAAGAAATCGTGGCTTGAAGCCTGAGAAACAGACGCTAAAGGAAAATATTTAAGTCTGTCTGAGGAGTGGAATTACACTATGATTAATTGTCCTACATTCATGGAAAATCCACATGTGGATTTAACATGCCTCACTTGGGGCTTGCACTAGATAAAGAGAAGGACTCTGTACATTTTGAGGTATAGAATTTTGCATCTAAGACCCAATAGAAGACTAGGAGAGAGGTATCCCCTAGACACCCAGTTATGGAAAATGCCCTGCACCTTTGAAAGATGAAGCTCATGTTCTCCAGCCTCAAGGCACCTGGCTGATTTGGCACCCACCAGAGATCCTAGAGGCCTCCGGAAATACTCACACACTGGCACCACTTTCCTGCCAGATCCTAAATTCTTAACAGGACCCATGGCTGCTCCTGTCTCTGGAAGGAAACCAGGAAAGCCCCTACTTACATTCTTAAGGAACTCCTCAGCTACGATACGGGCACGGGCGTTGACCGACAGCTTCATCTCACTGATCTCTTTGTCGATCTCCTCCATGAAGTGGATCACAAAGTCCACCAACTTGTGTTTATACATCTGCTCTGTGTGGAAGTTGGTGATCAGAAAACTGATGTCATAACCCTAGGAAAGGAAGACAGCAGGAAGAGAAAAAAAAGGAGATTAGCATCCCAGGGGAACTTAGCTGGCCATGTCCTCTGGATTCACTCAGTCACATGCTTCCAGCTGATTGCAATCTTCTCTCAAGCTACACACCTTTCAGTCAGCAGCCCACCTGCTCTGGTGGGGTGTCTATGTTGGATCCAAGGAACTGAACCCAGTTGAGGATTTTGTGCATATCAGACGTCTCAGGAAGACTATCTGTGGCACAAATAGTAGCATTCAGAATGAGTCAAGGGAGAGTGAAGGGACTTGAAATTTTGTCATAGAAGAATCAAATCAAACAGGGAACACTTAGTCTGAAGAGATGCTGTGGGAGACAGATGGGATAGAGCCTTTAACTGTCAGATAGGTTGTGTGTGGAAGAGTAATTTTACTTATCCTGGGTGGCCCCAGAGGTTAGGGCTACGACCAGAAGATTTTAGCTCAGAATGAGGACTAGCTTGTCCAACATCTCTAATGTATCTGGTGATGCTGCATGCTGCTCTGTGTGGGTGGTGTTGCTCAGTCATTGGGGACATTTTAAGTCAATATGACAGGGAGTCTGTGGAGAGGACTGAAATACAAACAACAACTTATATACCCAGATGAGATATGGGTATACCTCCCAGTCA